TTTTGACGAAAACTTACCGCAATAATGCCATTACGTATTATTGCGTTGCACTCGTGTACACGAACGCGTGTATGCTAATAAACTATCCAAATCCTTATTATCCATTCGACAATAAGATAATAAGAATAATAATAATAATAGCTTAATGGAGTATTAAGCTCGATATTGGTAAAAAGGATAGCTTCGGAATAAATATTGTTAGCAAATACCGAGCCATCGACTGGTAACATCGATAGATTTGGTAGTGTGAGCAATGCAAATCATGTACATTGCATGGATTATATCATGTTTGATCGCTTAAAAAATACGGCGATTCTCGTCCCTGCAAATATCCGGATAAACGCTTTATCTAAATTACCAATTGTAAATTATGAGAGGCTTCGCGGTTCACTAGTCAAGAGCCTACTGCTCGAATTTTTTTTTTTTTTTCTCTCTCTCTTTCATCATATTATAAGCATTTTTGAAGATTTTATTTCGTTGTTTTATTGGCTGCGGAAGTAATTTCTCTCATTACAAATATTCTGCTTTTTGTCCACTGACTTTATATATTCATTCGACTTACCGTTGCCTAATTATCAAAAGTCTGTTAGATTTAGTCTCGAGTTATTAATTAAGCATTCCTAATCGGTTATCTCGACTATTGACAATAGTTTTTGAGTTTCTACTTAAAACATCCTAAAACAATGTCCAACGGAGTAGTCACCAACATTCTTCGATAAGCACTTTTTATTTCAATCGAGGCCTCTATTCGATGCGCACTTGCTTTCTATTTGTTATTTAATTATAATTTTTCTTCACTAAGATTTTATGACAATGTTTTTTGTTTTTCATTTTCTTTGATCATTTTGCAAAAGCCCTCGAGAGCATTTACAATTGTGATATAATAAAGCGAAGGACAAATATTATGTGTATATATATATACGCATACATACATACATACATACATACATACATACATACATACATACATACATACACTTGCATGCAGTGCATATATATATTCCTTAACGAAATTTACTGTCTTGTGAGAGCTCAGCGTATTTTCTTTAAAAACCTATTTGAGGTTTATTTTTAATTTATATATATTTATATAGCTGTGATATAATTATGCCTAGCATATATTACATTGCTTGAAGCTTTTATTCTGTACTGTATTTATATGTATACGTATGTATAATTATTTATACACATATACATCCGTACATAAATACACGCATACGCATACACGTACACGCACGCACATTTACGCAGTTTCACCTGTTTACATATATGTATGCATGTACTTTAACGCATGTAGTTTTTTTTTTACAAATTGTATAATAATCGTAATACTCAACTGTTATAATATGCACGAGTGCGAGAAAAATGTAAAATTACTTGCTCTCTATATTTTTCTTGTGATATTTCCATACTAATAAGTATATTGTTTGCAATAGCTAATAAAATGTTAAAATACAAGTAAAACAATTACTCTACATGCTTGAAAGAACGAGTTATTAACAATACTATTGTTATCGATTATAATAGTACATTGATAGTTTACGATTAAGTCAACCGAAGGTTTTTTTCTTCTTCTAATTTTTACTGGATATTTAAAACATATGTATCTCGATCGTTTAAAATGCAAGTGCTACCGTGTGTCATCCGGCTGGGTATCATAGAAGAAAAAATCTTGCTTAGATGAATTATATTTATATTCTTTATCATGTATGTTTGGGAAAACTTTTATTTTAAGACTATAAAAACTGCTAGAACAAATAATGGAGAAAAATACGCATTAATTTGCACTGTACGTATTATTTTAATGCTTAATTTCAGAAAATTAATGTATGTTTAAATTATGTGGACGGCGGAGCGTGTCTAGTAATATCATTGCAAAATTTGTTACATAAAAAATGATTTTTTTAATTATTTTTTATTTTATTTTATTTTTTTTTAAATTAGTTGTAAAACAATTAAAACCTTTCTTCAACATATTTGTAGTCTATGCAATGGTGCTTCTTTTTTAAATTGTCATCAAAGGTATTGTTAAAAAATTTGAATATTTTGACCGATTAAAATTCTATTATGTATATTAATATAAAACATAAGTAAACGTTTGAGAAGTTGAGAATATTAAAATATTTATAAAAATTTTGTAAAATGAAATTCAAATATAGGAAGAAATAAATAATTAAAAATTAAATTTGTTTTTAATGTAAAGAAGTTTTGAATTGAACTTTAAATTAAATTTAATTTCGTAATTGCAACATTTGATTCTTGGATATTATTAAAAATGTTACCGATGACCGAATAAGATAGATATCCAATATGTTTGAAGTAATAAGGAACATAATAGTAGTAAAAGTATTATTACAAATATTTCATCATGGAAACTAAAACAATTTGAGAAATGTATAAAAGAGAAAATATAAATAAACATGGTTGTAGAGTAAAATTAATATCTCGTTGACGAATAAAAGCATGATATTGCCATTAATATTATTCAGATTACGGGCTCAGCAAAAAGTTCGATATATTTATCGAATATTAATATTTTAATCGATGATTACTCTGGGGCGAACCAATCTTTCTATCAATTGCAAGTACTTTCGGAAGAAATAAAATCTTTTTCTATTAAATGAAACCTCTAAAAAACTGTCGATCAACTTTTAAATCTTATTGCACAAAAATTACACACTTTCCCTCCGAAACACGAGAAGTTGTATTTTCTTTTTATTTTTATTTTTTACTATTACTTCTTAATATCAGTAATATTTAAAAGAAAAAATATTTTTTCTTTTTAAAACAAAACAAGTAATGTTTTTTTTTTTTTTTTTTTTTGTAATAATTTTATCACATTCTATTAGTTAATGAATAAAATTAATTTTGCTTAACATAATAAAATAGGCTTAACGAGATATTTTGCCAAACAAATTGAATATTGCAATTAACAACATATAGAACGATGAAAAAACTATTTCAAATAACTTATAATTTACATACAGTATCGACAATGCAGTAGTGAACTTTTCTTCCAACAATTGTATTAAAATTGTAGATAATTATACCATTTTTTCTATTTATATATATTATAATGAAACGAGTTTTCTAAAGTGCAAGTTATTTATACATTCTTCTACGAATGAAATATTTTTCAAAATGATAATAAGGATGGCTATGAAAAGTCATTCAAAATGATTAGATTAAAATTTTTTTGCATTTATACGAATTTATATTGTAATGAATATGTGTGTGTGCGTGTGTGTGTGTAAAAAATCTAAGTTGATCGTCTTTGAGATTTCAAATTAACTTTCCAACTTCTTTAATTTTTTTTATGAGACAAATGATTTATACATAGTATAAGAAAGTTGTATAGTAACGGGCATGCATTTGATTCTTCATACAAAGAAAAGAAAATATTGTGTTTTACAATATGTCAATATAGTCTTTTTTTGTAATGCGCATTATCTTATTTAATTTTCTCTCCCCCCCCCTCTCTCTATCACTATTTCTCCGTCTATCTTGGATGCATAATTGATTATCGATTTAATGATTGGAAACTATCGAGGAATAATATTAACGAAAGTTGCTGATAAAGATTCGAGTTATTATTACACCGCGTCTTCGACGTACAAAAGCGATGGAAGTCAAAATTTCTTATTGATTAAAATCAATATTATTCTTGGAGACTAGCTAAAAGTCAAATAAAACTTTTGTCGATCATTGCCAAATAAAGTGCAAACAAAACTTTGGATAAAAAAATATCTCTTTACGTATAAAATTTAATTAGAATTTCATATTTACAAATCGTCTATTTTCTAGAACCTAATCTATAAAGTCATTAAAAATATTTTCTTAAAAATGATTTTTAATAAGTAGATCAAGTTTGAATGATTAAAATGAGACAAAGGTCAATACATCAAAAAAGCTTGTCTAACAAAGTTTTCTCATCTGAGCAATATATAACAGTGAGGCCAAGAATTAGAAAAATGTATGATTGAAAGTGGTATCTTTTGTATTCTTTTGTAATATACTAATTTATATATATATATGTACATTACATTTCACTTTCATTAAATTTCAATTTCACAAGACAGAAAAAATTTGTAAATGATGGGATTTCCAAAATAACTTGTAATAATGATTCTTTTCTTTAGCTAAGCGTAATTAATTATAAGTCTAATCATTATATCAAAAATCAACAGTAATCAACAAATTATTTTAAATCCATTTTTGTTAAGACAAAATTTAATGAAAATTAAAAAAAAAAAAAAAAAAAAAAAAAAAAAAAAAAAAAAAAAAAAAAAAGAATATTATTTGAATTTCTAAATTAAGCAATGATATTTTACAAATTTTAATATTTTATATTTTTCTTACGTCACTGTACAATGATATTAACAATATTTTATCGATGGAAACCGAAAGTTTTTCTATTCCTTGTAAACACAAAATCATAGGAAATCTACATGAATTGCATATTATTAGTCTTACTTATTTTGTACACACATAGCATTTATCAGCTTCATATTATACAGTCCGACATGCCTTTATAATTTATATAATCTGTGAAATTAAGTTATAAAATAACTCGCACAGTATTGAATATATATTCAAATTATTTATAAAAAAAAAAAAAAAAAAAAAAAAAAAAAAAAAAAAAAAAAAAAAAAGAATATTATTTGAATTTCTAAATTAAGCAATGATATTTTACAAATTTTAATATTTTATATTTTTCTTACGTCACTGTACAATGATATTAACAATATTTTATCGATGGAAACCGAAAGTTTTTCTATTCCTTGTAAACACAAAATCATAGGAAATCTACATGAATTGCATATTATTAGTCTTACTTATTTTGTACACACATAGCATTTATCAGCTTCATATTATACAGTCCGACATGCCTTTATAATTTATATAATCTGTGAAATTAAGTTATAAAATAACTCGCACAGTATTGAATATATATTCAAATTATTTAAAAAAAAAAAAAAAAAAAAAAAAAAAAAAAAAAAAAGGGACCGACTAATAATATTCGAGCGTTTCTTTATGTTTACAAGGTCAATTCATTCTTCAAGTCCAACGAACATGCTTATTATTCTCAATGTTTAAAAAATTTTTTTTCTCAATATTTAGATAGGAAGAAGAAAACGTATAAAAGAGTTTACAGTTGTTCTCGAAAAGCATACAGCGTGCATAGCGTGATAAAATATAATTTTCGTTGAAGTCTTGAGGAATCGTATTCGTTTCTGCCTCCCAGCGGCAAATTAGACGAAGAAGTAGTAGTCGCGTGGAATTATTCATGGGGAGGTTCGAGTGCGCGTTATAGAGAAAACTAGAAAGAGAAAGAGCAGAGTGAGAGAAGGATAAAGACAAATAGATAGAAAGAAAATAAAGTGGGACCATCCAGCGACTCTCATCCTAACAGAAAATGGCTCTAAAGTAATCGTTGAGCAGTTCCCGCTGCTCGTCCTCATCGTTCTCCCCAAGATCTTCGTTACGTCCCCGCTATCGGAGCGTCCCCGGGCGTTAGGAGTGCGGGAGATCGATGGTGTGCGTCTCGTTACCGAAGATGAGCCTCAGTCTCTTCATGGAGGTTGGCGGGGGTATGGGCGGATCGTGTATAAGCTCCCGGCGCTTGTGCCGCCTTTCGCGATCGCGAGTCTTATGCTTCTTGCGGGGTCTCGCGCTCTCTGCTTCCTCTTCGTCAACGCCCTCGACGCGCAGCACCTCGTATTCCGGTACGTCGTTGCCGCAATCCTCGCTCAAATTTGTTCCTGACTCGATTACATCGTCCAGGATGGGTGAACGTTTCATACGAAGGGTTAACTTGAGTCTGCCACCACTTTGGCGCTCGGGCGTCACTGGATAGGTGCGACACTCCGAGGGTTCAGATGTGAATTGTTGCCGTTGCGGAAGTGGTTGCTCCCAGGGATGCATTACACTTGGAATCGATTGTGGTTGCGCCGATGGTGGTTGTAGTGGCCGTCCTCGTGGTGGTGCTGGTGGTGGTGGTAGTGGTGGTGGTGGTGATGATAATGTTGTCGTTGTTATTATTGTTGGTAGTGATGACGATGTTGGTTGTGGTTGTGGTTGTGGTGGTGGTTGTGGTTGTGGTGGTGGTGATAACGGTGGTGGTGCTCGTGGCGATGATGATGGTGGTACTGGTGGTGGCGGTGGCGTTAATGGTGATAATGGTGGTGGTGGTGGCGTTGATGGTGATGACGGTGGTGGCGATAAGGGTTGTGATATTGGTGGTGGTGATGGTGATAAGGGTTGTGATATTGACGGTGGTGGAGATGGTGATGGCAGCGGCGGCGGCGGTGGTGATGACGACGATGATGACGATGGTAGTGGTGGTAGTGGTGGTAGTGGTGGCAACGGTGGTCGTATCAGTAGTGGTTGTTGTTGTTGTTCGATGCAAGTGCCGGTGTTCTTGTTTATGCTGCTACTAATGTTTGCGCTGATACTACTGCTGATACTATTACTGCTGCTGCTGCTGCTGCTGAAAAGATAAAAATGAAATCTTAGTACGTTTTAAATTATTTTTATTCAGTTTTCGGTACTATTTCAAAGAAATACCTTATATTAGAATTACTATTTATTCAATAAATAATAAATAAGTCAAAATATGAACAGTCTTTTGTGTGTAGAGCAATGAAAGATAAAGAAATTTTATCTAACAATTTTAAGGCAAAATAATATACTAAATTTATTTCCATAATTTTCTATTATGAAACAAAGTTCAAATTGTGAAGTGTATGTAGAATGTTTTTATAATACCAAAATTAACTTTTATTAGTAATCTAAATTTTTCTCTAATAATTGTAATTAAATATTACTTATGAATCTCTATTTTTTATTGCGAATAAATTTTTCTTTACTTTTTTCATTTTTAATCTTGATATTGGTATGTGAATTATTTATTGATTATTAAAAATTAACATTTTTCGATTGTCAATACATTTGCTTCGGCAAATACATATCGATAAATTTAAAAGAATTAATGAGTATTAAATTTTCAGTTAAATTAAAAAATCGCTTATTTTATAAATTAAACTTCCAATTTAATTTAATATATATTTACCATTTTTATTGTTAATATAGTTTCTTCATATCACAAAAAATATAATTTATAACTTTATAATGCTATATAAATAACAAAATACTACTATCATTACAAATATAATAATTTATAATACACATAATAGAAGACTAATTATATTTTAATTATTATGGAATTTAGTTAATATAAATCTTATATTTATCTATACCAAAGGATGAAATTTTATTGTAAGATTTACTTTAATAATATTAAAATATATGCTATTTAAAATATTTTTATTATGAAACTAATATTCTTAAATAAGAATTCAGGTTTTTGTTAAATTGTAAATTACCAAATCTGCTTTTAGTTAGCAAACGATACACGTAATTTGTCTTTTAAAATAGAAAGCATGCTAAAATACAATTTTGTAGTCTTTTGACAATAACACTTACTCATGTTTTCCCTCACTGCTAACAGAGTTTTCTCTCGATTGCCTATCATTGATATTGTTGAAGGTATCATGATTGTCGTCACAGCCACGCCAAGGATCCAAGGGTATTATTAAAGGTGGTGGGTTTTCTTGCACTTCATTATACTTATCTCTTAAAAGTGGAGCACGGTTTGGCAAACTAATATCTTCCAGATTACTCTCTTTTTCACTAAACTCATAAATGTCCCCTTGAATACCTGAATCATCATCAGCTGCTCCAATGGGCACAGCTGGTTGTTGAGGGTCCTTCTTTTGACTCCTTGTCAACCTGACACTACACTTATCCAAAAAACTTCTACCATTCTTCATTTTTTTCAATTTTGTTCTTGATGACCGTTTGGCCTGTTTCCTATGACTTTTACGAGAGTGTAACAGTACTTCATCACATCTCTTTAGTGTTAAAGTTCGTGTGTCCTCTGACTTTAGAGTCACAAAATCATTCAAATATTCTTTACATTGTACCACATTATCACTCGATTCGCTTAAATTTTTTACAGTCTCTTCATTAATTACTCTATGTTTGCCGTTAAAGAATAAATTATTATCTTGATTATCTATTATTTTTGCACAATCCTTAATGTCACTGGGATATCTTGACTTGCAGTTACTGTCAAATGAGTCTATTTTGTGAAATTTCGAGGTATTTGAAGGTTCTATTGAGGTTATCTCAGATTGTCCATAGTTTATGCTTACATTAGACTCTAGGATTTCTCCGGCAGAACCTTCTATGGAGTTAAGCTTATCGAAATCCTTAGTTTCATGGAAAGGCGAGCTTCGAGGAGCTTTACCATGAATAGGAGATTTTCTACAATTTACATCGTACGACACATTATCACTGAACTTATGATACGCTTTTTTATCAGTCGTAAACAAGCGATCGTACACTTTGACCGAACTTTCACTTTTATTGGAATTTATAGTTTTCACTTGATTTTCACTATCCAATTTACTTATATCTATACCACTCATTGAACACTGATAGCCTTTGAAACTATTTTTTAAGCACTGATTTGAATTTGTTTTATCTGATATATTAATATCTGACAGATTATGAAATTTAGAATGAGAAACAAGATTGGAGTGATTTGGACTAAAGGAATTTGTACTGTGCTCTTTTCCATATATATGAAATGAACGATCATTTTCTATAGAGTCATCTTGCAATTTTGAATTGAATTTATCATTTGACATATTTTCTGATAATCTTGACAAACACTCTTCTTCTCGTCGTTTTTCATGACAATTTTCTGATGCTGTCGAGCGCAGATCCCGAATATGACAAGTATTTACAGTATCATTTCTGGACGTTTCCTGATTATGTTTGTGTAAATTTGAAAAAACACAATTTTCATCTGCTTCTCCTCTGTCGGAATCTTCTTTTCTATGACGAACATGAAGCGAACCAAGATGCAAGCCATTATTGCTTTCAGTTCCTTTAATTCTTTTTGCTTCTGCTCTCTTTTGAAGCCTTAAAAATTATAATTCAAAGTTACATTATTGCTTTATTAAATATTTAAATTTTTAAAATTATATCCATCTTTCCGCTTAAAAAGAGCTTGCTTATATAAAAAATAATATAGGCACTATAAGACCAAAAAAAAAAAAAAAAAAAAAAAAAAAAAAATATTTAAAATAATAGTAAATTGTATTTACCTGGAAGCCCTTAAACGTTGGCAACCTTTCAAGTTGCTTCGATTATTGTTAATATTATTATTATTATTATTATTATTATTATTATTATTACTTTCAGTCTTGTTTGCTTGATTTTTATTTCTGAGTGTTCTTGTGGCTGAACCTGGAGTATGCTGAGAATTTTGAGACGCATTCTCTTCGTTATTTAATAACACTGGTTGCTGAGCAATGTCAGAAAATCGACAACCCTGAGCAATTAAAAGCTCGGCATCATATTTTGTAAGGCCCTTTCGCCTCAACTCCTTCATACTGAGTGACTGAGGAGCGACTGCAACATTAGTGATTTCCCCATTTCTTTCCATGAGAGTACTTTCTTGATGTTTATTTGCACCTAACGGCTGCTGTCTGTGTTTTGTACGGTTTATGCGATTGTCCGTTTCTCTCAAACGATAACCTATCAAAAACCAAAAAGGCCATGACCTTTATTTATTATGAACTCGCATACATCTATTTTTATATAAGCGACTTGATTTTTACATTTGCCATAGAGCATTTCTTTATATTTATTTATGATAAGATAATTGTGAAATTAAAATACTCGAATTGCTTATAAATTTCAAAAGATTAAAGCAGCTTAAATAGTTAAAAAAAAGTATTAACAGAAATAGTGTATATTAAATTTCTTATTTACCATTGCTGATTTTCAAACCTGATTCTAATTCTTCTCCAGGTTTTTGATTAGCAAATGCTCCAGTACCACGTCTTTCACAAGTTTCACACTCACAATAACAATTGCCATCACCAAAAAAATCCTCGCCATAAAAGCAAGTGATTTCTTCTCCTGCTTCGATATCACGTAAAACCTTCACACAGGCAGTATCACGTCCAGTTGCAACAAACTAAATGTAATTTACGAATTGTTTTTAATATTTTAATTAAATTTTACAATGCAAACATTAAAATGGAAAAAAGCTAGTAACCTTGCAGTTTGCCCTACAATCATGATTAATATAAGCTGCTGGTCCTAACCAGAGTTGAGCGCAATTTTTTCTACAACTGAACATTACTGAAAAATCATTTTTTCCAGGATGTAAGAGGGCAGCTTCCTCCTGCAATAATTTATAAATTATCACGTAGATAATTAATTATATAAAATTTTTATTTACTACTACAGTGAAGAAATTACGCACTTTATCACTTAATTCAGCAATGCAACCTACAAGGCAAGAAATTTTATCGTTTTTTAACCATTTTCTTGTTGCGCATATTTTTGCTCCCTTTTGCCCTTCCAATGAATACCTATAACAAGCTTTAATAACAAAACCTGAATCTTTATCGAATACCCTTAAATATCGATAAATCTGCAAAAACAAAAATCAGTTTATTAGCAATTTTCACTAATAGTAAATAATTAAAGAATTGAATTTATGCTTTTGTATTTACATGTTTTTCTAAGTTGATCTGTTGCTGTTTCGACTTGGTATGTGGTAAACGAGCTCCCCAATCACCGCTTATCAACTTCTTGTAGGCTTTTTCATAATTTTGTGTTTGAATGAATTCATTTATAACTTTCTTAAGCTCATCTTTATTAGCCTTTAATGGTCTGTATCTAAAAGTAAAGAAAAATTATTTATACGGTTTATATATAATATTCATGTCGATATCTTAAAATCCAAGACTATTACAATAGCATATTATAATAAATTTTTTAATTTCTTCAATAATTGTACCTAATATTCATTTTATGCGTTGTAAACCCCAAGTAGGTATCGAGCACAAGAGATGTTGCCAAATCGTCATTATCGCACAGCTCTTTAGGTGTCATGCCACCTGCCGCTGTTACATTGGGCTGCATCCTGGAACTGACGGAGCTACCCAATCTTCTCTCCTGCTTCCGTCCTCCCGAACCCTGGGCAGATAAGCAATCGACCACCATTCTGCGATCTATGCCCTTACTGTAAAGGAGAAGAATAATTACCATTTGTAATTATAAATTTGGACGGAGGATGTCAAATCTTGGCTAAATAAACGGAAGTATAAAAAAAGAAAATTCTAGTTTATTAATCGACATAAGACAAGAAAATGAATATTAAGTTCATTTGAAAGTAGTAATAAATTTAATTATTTGTAGTTTAGCGACACATTGTTCGTACAATATAAAACTTTGATGAATTCGATAGAAAGCTTTCGATTAAATAACATTCATTTCCCATAGTACGATCAAATATTGTTTTACAGTTATAGAAATAAGTGCACGGATTATTAAGCAAATACAATTGATAAATTTCTCGTTCCAAATGCAATTGATTTTATTTATCTGTACATGGGCACGCCCGCTCGCCCTAATAAAAATATAAAAAATAAAAAATAAACCTAATAAACTACACAAATGCATACATAGCCTTAGTTACATCGATCGACTATACTTTAACAGATCTATTAGTAAATTTTGTTGAATTCAAACTCAAAAAATTAGTTAAATAAGTTTACAGTGTAAAAGTGTGATATGGACGACGAAAGAAAGACATAACACCAGCATGTTTACCATTACTGAAATTTATTCGATTAACTGTCAAAGCAAGCACCACAAGCCACCCATGTTGGCTGCACACGAGCAACTATTAAAATTATAAAAATACGAACACTCGTCCCAGGGTCAAGTTCTTCTAGACGATTAGACGAGCAATGCAAACCAGCTTGTCGTAACCAACCAGCACTAGTGACAGAGAAAGGAAAGGAAAGAGAAAGATACGTATTTTATAGAGGCACGACACCCAAAGCCACCCTTCGAATCTTCAAAACGATAAACCATTCGACGATTGTTACTCGTGCACTGTTTCCGGAATAACTCGACAAATTAGAATCGCATGATAGGCAGCGCTTCTGCAGCTATGTACAAATCAAAGCACAAAACGAAGAAATAGTGAGCGAGAGAAGGAGGGGAAAAAAAGAGGAAAGAGAAGAGAAAAGAGGAGAGAGAAGGAGGGAATGTGAACGCGCGCGCGCGCTCGCGCGTGTGTGTAAGAGAGAGAGAGAGAGAGAGAGAGAGAGAGAACGAGTGAGCGAGCGAGTGCGCGAGAAGCAAGAAGCGCTCTCTCGCAGAAATGGCCGAAGAGAAGCGTCTTCCCCTCACCGGTTCTTCTTGCAGCCGAGACAAGAGGTCTCTTCTTTCCTCCTCCTCGTAGGGTAGCGCGCCTCGTCGACGGCTTCCTAGTCGCGGGCTACCCACGACACGACAGGCTCACATAAAAGAGACGCTACGACGGCGACGACACCACGAGCACAGCCGCGACGACGATGCGATCTATCATGGCAGATCGAGCGTAAAGCCCAGGAGGGCAGAGAGGGGGCCGAGGGCTCTCCCCGATACATTCACGCTGTCTTTCAGCTGGAGGTATCCGCTTTACCTACGCTCTCGTACGTTTCGCGTAGGAAAAGCCTTCTGCTGCCCGCCGACTCGATTCTTTTGGCCATTTCTCGTCATATTAACTCTACATCTGCCACTCGACATTCCGTTCCGTCTCTTCCCGCTTCATCGCCTCCCTGCCTTTTTATTTTTTTTGTCTCTATCTTACACTGCCTTTGCCCGCACGTTCATTTATTTGACAATACATATCCATGTATCCTTCGTTACGTTCTTTTTACAATTTTGTTTCTTCTATTTTCTTGCACTCGCGCGTATACATTCCAGAAGGAAATCAGTCGACGAATCTTTGCAATAAAATAAAATGGTAAAGCCAAGAGTCACGATGAGCCCGAGCATTTATTATATGCGGGAGAAATATTTTAATAATTATTGTGGAGCCACAATCGTAACAGTGCGATTAGCAACTACGACAAAAGAATCAAAAAAGGAAGTCGTGCTTGTAAAATGTATTATTTTGTCCCCATTGTTAATGCGAATGATGAACCATACAAATTCAAATAGTTCCTAACCTTGTAAATAGATCGAAACTTAAGAACGCGATACGAAAAAAAAAAAAAAAAAAAAAACAATTGATATTAAAAATTAGGAGAAATAGACAAATTATCGAATAGAAGTCAAGATTATATAGATTGTTATAATAAAGAAGAAACTTGCAAAATGCGCAATCTTACGATACGAAAAAAAAGACAGAGACAGAGACAGAGAGAGAGAGAGCGAGTGACTCTGTCTGTCTATGTGTGCGTGCGTGCGTGCGTGCGTGTGCGCGCGCGCGCGCGTGAGAGCGGATAGCGCGGGGGGTTAGAGGGGAGGGTGGGAGAAAGAAAGGAAGAGAAAGAGAGACTATTTAAGAATAATGCATGGTATATACTTTCCTAAGCAATAAGCGAAAATGAGCGAGCGAGTATAGTATATATTCAATCTACGTATTATGCATTTTTCAACGGTAATAATAATATCGGTAATGGCCAACATCTACGAACCTAGTAAATAACACAATTATCTTGGAGCAAGAAAATGAAGCATTGATAGGAAGAGAAAAAAAAAAGGAAAAAAAAAGAAAAAAAAAGAAAAAAAAAGAAGAAAAAAAAGAAATAAAAGAACATAATATGCGAACATTTAAGGTGTTCGTACAATGGTACGTAACGCGAGTGTATCATCAAGGTACTTTAAACACACGAAGCTAATATAATTATTTTAGAAAAGAGTTGAAACATTGATTGTCGAAATAAAATAATGAAACACATCCCTACATATATCTTGAAGAGGACAATAAATGCAGTTGTAGAAGCACCCTTAAATCTTGTTCTCTCTATCCACGTAAACCAAAGAACACCTTAAACGTGCAGTCGAGATTGCAAAACATATTTATAATTACAGCGAGCAGTTTTCGATCTGTCACTTAAATTTCCACATTCGAACTCACCATAATTATTCGCACCATGACATTTCTTAATCGATACGTTTCACCACCTTAACATTATCCTTTATTCGTAAGCCTGAACCCCTTGTGGAATTCACTTAGCAAATTGCTGCGGACCGCAGGGTACGTCTACAACTGCATGGCGATACTGCATAACAAATTTGCACTCTTTTTCTTTTCTTTTCTTTGTTCCTTTTATAAGTTCGAAACACGAAGCATACGACACTACGATAACTCCTAATGCAGAACCTTCGATAAAGGACGTGTTTGCTTACAATTGCTTACGAGCTGTAATCGAAAGTCCGAGCAACGATCTATGAATTAGTCGTGTGCTCGATTCGATGACAAGCGAAGCAAATCATAAGGAATAGCTGCACCCAACGTCCCAACATCCTCGTTCGATCCAGACGCACCCTAAGACCATGTGGACGAGCGCGCACTTGTAGACCTAACTTGATGTAGTCTCCGCACTTGCCCTTGTGCATCCAACGTCCGAGCCAGAGTCCGGGCGGTAATATCGCCACCGTGATACAGAACCCGGGGCAGCTAAAATTGATCGCGCTGCTCGAGAGAAGGAAAGCGAAAAATGCCCGCTCTCCCGCGTACCGCCGAGTCGTGTTTACGCGCATGCAACGCACATGAGATTCTACTAGTCCAGCACGCATCGAGCGAGGCAGCAGTGGCGTCAACTCGCACCTCCGCGAGCATCGACGAAAGTCGCCTCTGCTCTCGCCCCTCCCCGGCCGCCCCGCGCGGCACCCGCAAATTCGAGGCAATAATAATTGGTGGCAGGGGGCTGGTTAAAGTAAGGAGCTTACGCGCACCGTCGGGCGGATGTCATGAGAGATCCTCGCTCGCTGTCCTCTCACGTTTCGGGTAGGCGCCGACTGGGCTCGAGCGACGAGGCCATCCTTCCCCTCGGCTCCTCACCTTGACGCGCGGCCTCACGCCTTCCTCGTCGATGCTAGCCGTCGCCGTTGCCAAAGAGAAGCCCAAGAGCGGCGAGGCTAA